GCATCTGGGTGTCTCACTGTCAAGATAATGTCTTTAGCAACCAGTTTATCTGCTTCACCCTTGCATTGTTCTGTCTCTCTGCTTCTTTACTGCATGGCCAGGCCGCAAAGTCTCCAAATCTTTATGCTCTGCTTCCCTTTTAAATTCTGGCTTTGTGTTATGCCTTTGCTGCCATAACTCAGCTAGGCTGTTAGAAGCAACCATGCAGCTTCTTTAATGCTTTGCTGCTTAGAAATTTCTTTGGACAAATGCTCTGGTTCACGACTCTTAAGTTCCAACTTCCACAACATCCAAGGTCATGGACACAGTGCAGCCAGGTTCCTCGCTATGGTGTAGCAAGGGTGATCTTCTGTCCAATTCCCAATAAGTCCCTCATTCCTATCTGAGACCTCATCATCCGCATGGCCTTTACTGTCCACATTTCTATCAGCATTCTGCTCGCCACTACGTAAGTCTCTAAGACATTCCAAACTTTCCCTCGTCTTTTTCTCTCCTTCTAAGTCTCCAAACTCCTCCAACCGTTGCCCATTACCCAGTTCCAAAGCCGCATCCACATTTTCAGGTCTCTGTTTAGCAACGCCCCACTCCTCGGTACCAATTTTCTGTTTTAGTCCATTTGTGTTGCTATAACAGAATTACCTGAGACTGTGTAATTTATAAAGAAAGAGGTTTATTTGGCTCATGATTCTGGGACAGCTGCATCTGGCACGGGCCTCACGCTGCTTCTACTCATGGTGGAAAGTGGCAGCGCATAACTTCGTATAGCATACATTATACGAAGTTATACGAGGTTATTTGGCTTACAATTCTGGGACAGCTGCATCTGGCACGGGCCTCAGGCTGCTTCTACTCATGGTGGAAAGTGGCAGCAGCAGGCGGGTATGAGCAGATCACATGGTGACAGGAAGCGAGAGGAGAGAGAGGAGAGAGAGAGAGAGAGAAGGTGCCAGGGTCTTTTTAAGCAACGAGCTCTCACGGGAACTAATAGAGCGAGAACTCACTCCTGAATCCCCCCTCCCCCAGGGAGAGCATTAATCCATTCATGAGGGATCCGTCCCCATGACTCAGTCAGTTTCCAGCACTGCCACATTGGACATCAAATGTCCACATGCATTTCGGAGGGGACAACACATCCAAACTCCATCAGTTCTCATGCCGCATGGCATTGTCCATCAGGAGAGCCCACTGCAGGGGAGGCGCCATACCCACAGGGACTCATGACCCAGTGCTCCAGGCAGGCTCCCAACCAGAGTAGCAGACACAGCCCTCTGCCCCCAGCAATAAAGACCAGCGCCCCCACTGCAGGTCCAGAGACCAGCTGGAGACTGGGTGGCACGCTGAGGCCTCTTCCCCTTGGCGAGGCCGTGACTCATACTCCAGGCGTAGCGTGCCTTTCCTGCCCATGGTGCCTCAGCATCCGATCCTCAGCAGGGCTCCCAAGTGACATCACCTTCCCCACAGGGCACCCCTGTCCTGGGAGCCACCCACAGGCAGTGTCAGATAGCTCTTGCCAAAGTGCAGCTGACAGTATCCTGACAATGACACCTGTGCAACTATGGTGCTGTCCTTCAGGACGGGTCCTCAAATCCATGGCCCCCTGGGTCATGTGGCCACATGGGTCTGGGGACCAAGGGGTGGAAGCAGGACTGGCCACCCATCATCCTGCTAGTGCCCCACTGGGGAAGGGGTGCTTCCTGTCCTGCAGCTTTAACCTGTGGGGCCAAGGTCCTGGTCTCCAGAGAAAAACTCTGCCACCTGGAGCAGAGTGAGGAAGCACCCACAGCAGTGACAGCCACCTGGCCACGGTGGCTCCTGTTCCGGTTGAACATCATCTGGCAGAGGTGACCCTAATCACCTACTCAATGGGGGCAATGAGGACAGTTTGAAGGAGAGCAGAACCCAGTAAATGCACGATGACAAGGACGCAGACCTGTGGGTCTAGGTCATCCCTGCAGGCCCAGGAGGGAGGGGAGCCCCGGCCACGGCCTCGGGCAGGAGAGCAGAACCCAGTAAATGCACGATGACAAGGACGCAGACCTGTGGGTCTAGGTCATCCTTGCAGGCCCAGGAGGGAGGGGAGCCCCGGCCACGGCCTCGGGCGACAGCTGCTGCAGGGTGGGGCTTGCCCTTCTCACGTCTTCTTGTGAGCCTTCCCTGAGATTGCAACCAACGAGAGTTCTGGAAAAGCCAAGTCCAGGGGGAGAAGCCGCACAGAAGCAAGAGTGTCTGAGGGGCGAGGTGTGGCTGCCCTCAGTCAACGGGCACCAAACTAGCCAGGGTCACACTTCCCTCCCCGGGGTGGGGGGACACAGCCAGATTCACTGACCTCACCCTCAGAGGAAACAGGAGCACCTTAAGTGCCGAGCACACACCCGACGTAAGGTCACTGCCTGGACCAGAGCAGGGCATGGGGCATCCAGGAGCAGCCCCACTCTCCACCACGCCCTACTCCCTGGGCCACTAGGTCTGCCCTCCAGCCACCGCCAGGGCTGCAGCATCCACCCCACCCTGACCCCCGACACACACCTGACTGCAGGAAAAAATACGAGGCAGGACCCACAAGAAGGTTGGAATTGCTTTTATTGGGGGCGGACACCGCAGGGCCCCCGCCCATGGTCAGGTTAGTGTTCTGCCCTCACAGAGGCGGCCGGCAGCCTGGCACCTCCACCTACCGCCTGCCTGGGTTAGTGGAACATGCAAAGCTCAGTCTAAGGGAGGAGGGAGGGGTGAGGGCCACCAAGGCCAGGGGCTGAGGGAACAGGAGGGTGGGTGGCACTGGGCTGGGGTGCCTCGTCACCACACACTGCCCAGCTGGCCTCCCTGGGCCAAAGAGGGGCTGAGACTGATCTGGGAACTGGGGCTCCCTGGGAAAAAATGGCAGGCAGCACCCCAGGGTGGGGCTCCACAGGCTCGAGGGCCCCTGGGCCCACAGGGAGGGCACATCTGCAGGACCCCCGGCCACACCCACCTGGGAGCGTCTGTCTCCCACCCCGGGCCTGGGTCCTCGGCGCCTGGGGTAGGAGGGAGAACACAGAAGGCACTTACTAGGGAGCTGAGGCTGAGAGGCTGAAGCCTGAGGCCTGGGGTCTTGGGAGTGAGTGTCGGGGTGTGGGGTGAGCCACGAAGCAGAGCTCAGACGCAGCTGCAGGAACCGGCAGGAGGCTGGAGCCCAAACACCTAGCTCTGAAGACTGGACCCTCATCTTCCCATGGGGAAGGGGATTCTCTGGGCAGGCTGCAAGAGNCCCCACTCCTCGGTACCAATTTTCTGTTTTAGTCCATTTGTGTTGCTATAACAGAATTACCTGAGACTGTGTAATTTATAAAGAAAGAGGTTTATTTGGCTCATGATTCTGGGACAGCTGCATCTGGCACGGGCCTCAGGCTGCTTCTACTCATGGTGGAAAGTGGCAGCAGCAGGCGGGTATGAGCAGATCACATGGTGACAGGAAGCGAGAGGAGAGAGAGGAGAGAGAGAGAGAGAGAAGGTGCCAGGGTCTTTTTAAGCAACGAGCTCTCACGGGAACTAATAGAGCGAGAACTCACTCCTGAATCCCCCCTCCCCCAGGGAGAGCATTAATCCATTCATGAGGGATCCGTCCCCATGACTCAGTCAGTTTCCAGCACTGCCACATTGGACATCAAATGTCCACATGCATTTCGGAGGGGACAACACATCCAAACTCCATCAGTTCTCATGCCGCATGGCATTGTCCATCAGGAGAGCCCACTGCAGGGGAGGCGCCATACCCACAGGGACTCATGACCCAGTGCTCCAGGCAGGCTCCCAACCAGAGTAGCAGACACAGCCCTCTGCCCCCAGCAATAAAGACCAGCGCCCCCACTGCAGGTCCAGAGACCAGCTGGAGACTGGGTGGCACGCTGAGGCCTCTTCCCCTTGGCGAGGCCGTGACTCATACTCCAGGCGTAGCGTGCCTTTCCTGCCCATGGTGCCTCAGCATCCGATCCTCAGCAGGGCTCCCAAGTGACATCACCTTCCCCACAGGGCACCCCTGTCCTGGGAGCCACCCACAGGCAGTGTCAGATAGCTCTTGCCAAAGTGCAGCTGACAGTATCCTGACAATGACACCTGTGCAACTATGGTGCTGTCCTTCAGGACGGGTCCTCAAATCCATGGCCCCCTGGGTCATGTGGCCACATGGGTCTGGGGACCAAGGGGTGGAAGCAGGACTGGCCACCCATCATCCTGCTAGTGCCCCACTGGGGAAGGGGTGCTTCCTGTCCTGCAGCTTTAACCTGTGGGGCCAAGGTCCTGGTCTCCAGAGAAAAACTCTGCCACCTGGAGCAGAGTGAGGAAGCACCCACAGCAGTGACAGCCACCTGGCCACGGTGGCTCCTGTTCCGGTTGAACATCATCTGGCAGAGGTGACCCTAATCACCTACTCAATGGGGGCAATGAGGACAGTTTGAAGGAGAGCAGAACCCAGTAAATGCACGATGACAAGGACGCAGACCTGTGGGTCTAGGTCATCCCTGCAGGCCCAGGAGGGAGGGGAGCCCCGGCCACGGCCTCGGGCAACAGCTGCTGCAGGGTGGGGCTTGCCCTTCTCACGTCTTCTTGTGAGCCTTCCCTGAGATTGCAACCAACGAGAGTTCTGGAAAAGCCAAGTCCAGGGGGAGAAGCCGCACAGAAGCAAGAGTGTCTGAGGGGCGAGGTGTGGCTGCCCTCAGTCAACGGGCACCAAACTAGCCAGGGTCACACTTCCCTCCCCGGGGTGGGGGGACACAGCCAGATTCACTGACCTCACCCTCAGAGGAAACAGGAGCACCTTAAGTGCCGAGCACACACCCGACGTAAGGTCACTGCCTGGACCAGAGCAGGGCATGGGGCATCCAGGAGCAGCCCCACTCTCCACCACGCCCTACTCCCTGGGCCACTAGGTCTGCCCTCCAGCCACCGCCAGGGCTGCAGCATCCACCCCACCCTGACCCCCGACACACACCTGACTGCAGGAAAAAATACGAGGCAGGACCCACAAGAAGGTTGGAATTGCTTTTATTGGGGGCGGACACCGCAGGGCCCCCGCCCATGGTCAGGTTAGTGTTCTGCCCTCACAGAGGCGGCCGGCAGCCTGGCACCTCCACCTACCGCCTGCCTGGGTTAGTGGAACATGCAAAGCTCAGTCTAAGGGAGGAGGGAGGGGTGAGGGCCACCAAGGCCAGGGGCTGAGGGAACAGGAGGGTGGGTGGCACTGGGCTGGGGTGCCTCGTCACCACACACTGCCCAGCTGGCCTCCCTGGGCCAAAGAGGGGCTGAGACTGATCTGGGAACTGGGGCTCCCTGGGAAAAAATGGCAGGCAGCACCCCAGGGTGGGGCTCCACAGGCTCGAGGGCCCCTGGGCCCACAGGGAGGGCACATCTGCAGGACCCCCGGCCACACCCACCTGGGAGCGTCTGTCTCCCACCCCGGGCCTGGGTCCTCGGCGCCTGGGGTAGGAGGGAGAACACAGAAGGCACTTACTAGGGAGCTGAGGCTGAGAGGCTGAAGCCTGAGGCCTGGGGTCTTGGGAGTGAGTGTCGGGGTGTGGGGTGAGCCACGAAGCAGAGCTCAGACGCAGCTGCAGGAACCGGCAGGAGGCTGGAGCCCAAACACCTAGCTCTGAAGACTGGACCCTCATCTTCCCATGGGGAAGGGGATTCTCTGGGCAGGCTGCAAGAGGCATCTGACCCGGGACCCCCTCCCTCCCCAGCAAGACCCACTGAGTGAGCAGGCCAGTCCTGGAAACACGCTGGGGAGAGGATGCTGGCCTAGGAGTCGAGGCCCCGAGAGGGCTGAGGGCCCTCCACTGATGGGACTGGCTCCAGCTGCCCTCAGCAGCCAGGACTGGTGGGTGGCTTACGGGGCTGGGTGCCTTGTCCGGAAGGAACCCTCTCTGGGGAGACAGGAGGAGGCTGGGGGCCTGGCTCTGGACCCTGCAAGGCACCTGGCTGTGGCGAGTGGCAGGTAGAAGGGAGTGCGGATACCCGATGGAGGTGAGGCGGCCAGTGGGGCTTGGCCACCCCCGCGCCCAGGCTGTCTGGACAGCAGATATATATTACTATATTAGTCTGGTTTTTTTTGGTTAAACTTTAGGCACCACTTGGGAGGAAGACACCTTCAAACATTAAAGAAAGACCCCAGCGCCTCGGCGGGGAGCCTGGCCACATGCAGAGCGGGAGGGCAGGTGCAGGCAGGGGGTCAGGCCACTGCAGACTCAGGGCCCCCCAGGGAGGCTGAGGGCCCCGAGGCGTAGCGGCGGCCATAGCCCGAGGAGGAGTAGGAGGAGGAAGAGAAAGTCATGGAGAAGCTGGAGCCAGTGGCATCGAAGCTGCCGCGGCGGGAGCCAGCCCGGGAGCCTGTGCGCGAGCCCGTGCGCGAGCCGGCGGCGGAGCCGGAGCCGCTGACGCTGTAGGGGCTGTAGTAGCCCTTGCTGGACTGGGCAGCGGCCTCCAGCAGCCGCAGGCCCGTGCCCTCCTCCACCATGCTGCGGTCCAGTGCGTCCTTGTACGAGATCTTGAGCTTGGTCTTGGGGCAGGTGAGGTACTTGGAGTAGGCGCCGACGTCGCGCAGCTTCTGGGCGGTGCGGGTGTCCACGGTGCCACGCTGCAGGGCCTCCTCCAGGGGCAAACGGCGCTTCATGTCGGGCTCAATCAAGCCTCCCGTCAGGTACTGCACCTCCAGGAAGCGCTGGCCGGCCTCGTAGTACAGCCAGCCCTTCTTCAGGGCCTGGGCGGCCGACATCTTGGTCTTGGTGCGTGGGTCCTCGAAGCCGCAGAAGGCCTTCTGGGCCAGGTTGATGCGGTCCACCATGATCTTGTCCACCAGGCCCTTGTTGACGGCATCCGTGACGGGGAAGCGCTCGCCAGTGCTGGGGTCGATGATGCCCCCAGTGCAGGCCTGTGCCTCCAGCAGCCGCTGCCCAGTGATGTTGTCGACCAGGTTGCGGTGCATGGCCTCTGTGATGGACACCTTCTCCAGCGTCTCCGTGTCCAGGATGCCGGCCACGGGGCCTGTCTCCTCAGTGGGGTCAGACCAGGGGGCCAGCTGGGTCCTAGAGACGGCAGGACTGATGGGGTAGGAGGAAGAGGAGCCCACCGATGAGGAGCGGGAGCGGAAGCCGCTGGCATTGCCCGAGAGCATGTCGGCAAACTCGGTGATGGAGAGCGTGCCGGCGCGGTACTGGTCCAGTGCCGAGCGGTCGATGAGGTTCTTGGCAATGGCGTCATCGATGTCGTACTGGCGGCCAGAACGGCGGTCAATGATCATGGACTTGACCACGCCATCCGAGGAGGAGATGGTGATCTCCTCCCACTCGCACTCCTGCTCGGACAGCTCCAGGTATGTCTGGTGGTCAATGAGGCCTTTGCGGTAGGCCTCGTACACCGACATCTCTTTGCCCGTCTCAGGGTCCACGATCACCACGCGGCGCTTGCGCACCGAGGACTTGGAGGACGTCTTCCGCTCCCGCTTCCTCTCCTTCAGCGGCAGGAGGCACAAGCCCGTCTGGGGGTCAGTGATGCAGCGCTCCATCAGCTGCAGGTAGGTGAGGTTCTCCTCTGTGTTGGGGTCGAAGAAGCCCTTGGTGTCATCGGAGGGGTCCGTCAGGATCTCATTCATCTCCTCGTCAAAGAGGCCACGCTTGTAGGCCACCTCCACAGGCAAGCGGTGGCTCTCCTCGGGGTCTATGATGCCACCCGTGGCAATCTGGGCCTCCAGCAGGCGGATGCCATGGTCTTTCAGGATCAGGCCCTTCTTCATGGCCTGGAAGAGGGAGATCAGCTTCCCAGAGTAGGGGTCCTTGTAGCCTGTGACGGCACGTTCAGCTGACAGCAACTTGTCCTTGAACTCGGGGCCCACGATGCCCATGCGCACGGCCTCCTCCACGGTCAGCTTGAGCCCCTTAATGGGGTCGATGACATAGCCGGTGGCTGCCTGTGCCTCCAGGAGCTCAAAGGCCGTGCCGGGGCGGATAATGCCCTTCTTCATGGCCTGGTACACAGACAGCCGCTCCTTGGTGGTGTCCACAAAGACGCCGGCAATGCAGCTGGTGCCCTCAAGGAACTTCTTCAGGCTCTTGGTGACCTCCTCGATGGAGGTCAGGCCCGCCTGCAGCTGCAGCGCCGTGGCCTCATCCATGACCTGCGAGCGCACCAGCTCCTCCAGGGTGATCTGCTTGCGCAGGCCAGGGAAGGTCACCTGGTGGGCACCAGAGAGTTTCAGGAGCAGCTGGCCGCTGTTCTCATCACGGTGGCACCGTTTGAGCAGCTGCGTGTAGCTGAGGCGCTCCTCTGTGGAAGGGTCCACATAGCTGCGCACCTCGCTGGGCTCTGAGAGCTTGTCATGCGTGTCCTTGTTGAGGTGGCCGCGCTGGTAGGCCACCTCCAGCGGGAGGTGGAAGCCCAGGTGGGGATCTATGATGCCGCCTGTGGCCAGCTGGGCATCCAGCAGCCGCAGGGCCTCCTCGGCAGGGATGAGCTCCTTCTTCATGGCCTGGAAGAGTGAGATGGTCTGCTCGGTGTAGGGGTCACGGTAGCCGGTGACAGCCCGCTCGGCCGAGAGCAGCCGGTCATGCAGCTCAGGGCCAACCAGGCCCTTCCGCACAGCCTCGTCCACAGTCAGCCGCTCGCCCTTCACCGGGTCCAGCAGGAAACCTGTGGCCGCCTGTGCCTCCAGTAGCAAGCGGGCCACCTCGGCACTCAGCTGCCCGTTCTTGAAAGCCTGGTAGATGGTCAACGTCTGCCCAGAGCTACACAGGTAGACACCGGCCACGCAGCCTGTGCCATAGAGGTAGCGCCAGGCGGACTCTGCCTCGAGGACCTCGCGGAGGCTCTTGGTGCCCTCCCTGAGCATGTTGTAGGACTCAAGGGAGATGACCCGGGCATGGTACAGGTCCTCGGCAGTGAGGCGGCGGCGCACGTAGTCGTAGGACGCCAGGTTCTGCTGGCGGATGATCTCGGTCTTTTCAATGATCTCGATGATGATGATGATCATGCGCTCCTTGGTCACCCGGCCAGCCTGGAAGTCGGCCATCAGCCGGGTCCGCTGTTCCTCAGGAATTAGGTCAGATTGCATCACCTCCCACAGGGACATGGTGGAGCCACCGTGGCCACCACTGCCAGGAATATCGATCTGCGTCTCCTCGAATGCGCGCCGGGTCTCCTCTTCAGTGTACACCTGCGTGGTCTCCACCACCTCAACCTTCTCTGCCCCTTTTAGTGGCAGGAGGCGCAGGCCCGTCTCCGGGTCCTCCACACAGCGCTCCAGCAGCTGCAGGTAGGTGAGGTTCTCGTGTGTGTTGGGGTCAAAGAAG